CGTTAGGTTTCATATAAACGCTAATACAATCGTCATCTTCATCAGCTCCTCCAGGGAAAAGTGTCTTAGCCAATGATTGCAGCCTGACCATGGACTGTGATGGGAAGGTTACCCTTTCCATCCCAGTCCTCCCTGGTAATGTTGAAACAGTGATCACTCTCTGAGATCCCTGGGGAGTCATAGAGTGTTGAGTTGGGAGGGATAGTAAAGATGACCTCATCCTGGGCCCAAGTTTACAGATAGAGAAACTGGGTTCCTGAGAAGGTTAACGTCAGAATGTGAACCCACCCACACCAACAAGGGCAAGGCAGAGGCATGCCGCCTGGCCCAGATGACTCCTGCAAAGTCAGTTTCCTTAACTGAAGTGGCAACTAGCCTCTAAAAGTCTACGAGAATAACAACATATTCACTCTCTAGCCGAGGGCTCCTAGGCCCCCTCCAAACCAGTAAAGCATTAGAAGCCATTAACCAGAAAAGACAACATGTGACAGAATTCCACCTCGGCTAAAGGGCTTAGAATGCTTGGGTGAGTAGCCAGAGACTCATAAACATACACTTCAGCTCTTTCTCAAAAAATCATTAACCAGCCCCATCAAGACTGCAACTCGAGCAGCCAAAGAGCAAGAGCGGGGAGAGACATTTCTTGAAGAAATTTTACCCGCCCTGTGTGTGTGTGACTTAGTGCCACCTCCGGATTTTCATGTCCCCTCCCCCTTCTCCCAGAGTTGGAGGAAGATCATTATGGCAAACGTTCATTTAAAAGTAATTGTGGAAATTTACAAAGTGCTTCCATCACACAAGGTAGATTTCTAAAGAACTGAACAGTGTTTTTGGAGTTTTGGTTCGTGCAGGTGCACACGGTTGCCTAAGGGTGTGTGTGCCTGAGCAGGTCACAGGACAGCTTCAGGAGTTGTTCCTCAAGTGCTGTCCACTTCCTTTTTTTTTTTTTTTTTTTCTTTTCTTTTTGATCTGGAGCTTGTCAAATAGGGTAGGCTGCTGGTCAGTGATCAGGTGCAGGGATCCTCCTGCCTCTGCCTCTCTAGGGCTGGGATTGCTAGCGTGTACCTAGTAGCCTCATTTTTCCCCACATGAGCTCTGGAATGGAATGCAGTTCCCTGTGCCTCCAGCAGCACTTGACCAGCTAAGCCATGACCAGACTGATTTTTAGTTGTGTGTTTTTACATTCATCTTGTGGGTGTGTATGTGTGGGGGCGTCCATGCCACAGCATCTGTGTGGAGGTCAGAGGTCAACTTGTGGGAGTCTGTTTCTGTGAGATCTGGGGATAGATCTCAGGCTGTCAGACTTTGTGGTGACAGATGTTGCTGGCTAGCCTGGAACTTATGTGGACCAGGCTGGCCGGCCTTGAACTCAAGACACTCACATGCTTCAGCTTGCCAGATGCTGGGAGTAAAGGCATACACTAGCACAATGGTTGTTTATTTAATTTTTTGGTTTGTTTTTGTTGTTTTTTGAGACAGGATTTCTCTGTGTAACAGCTCTGGCTATCCTGGAAGTTACTTTATAAACCAGGCTGGCCTGGAACTCACAGATATCCACCTGCCTCTGCCTCCCAAGTGCCGGGATTAAAGGCATGCACCACAGCCCTTATTTCTGTTGACCACACTGGCCTTGGATTTAGGCAATCCACCTGCCTCACCCTCCTGAGAGCTGGGATTCCCTATGTTAACCCACCTAGCCAGGCTGTTTATAAGGTAAAAGGAAGACCTTCTGGAAGAGGATGATGTGAAATTCTATCCCCTGACCGGCCTGGCCGGGTGTGGGCGTGGAGCTCTGGTGATCCACGCCAGACTCGTGATCTCAGGAGTCTATAATTTATGGAGCCGGGTTAGTCACTCTGCTTATCTCTCGACCCACTGAGTACTAATTCTCGCAGCTTCTCATGCCCCATGTCAGCCTGGATCAGCTCTGGCTTGAGGATTTGGGGGCAGGGAGAGGAGAGACAGATGAGGTTAGGATCAGTCTGTTAAACTGGAGAGGCAGGGGTTAAGCCCTAATCCACACTGTTTCTCTGGTCTTCAGGCTTCTTAAGCAGAACTGACAAGGTTCCCCTCCCCCACAACACCTTTATCAAACCCAAACTATTTTCTACATTCCTTCCTTACACAGCCCTGGCTCACAGCAGATCTGCCTGGGAGATCCAGGAAGCTCTGGCCTGGCCCTCCCTTCTAGAAAGGAAAGTCCAGGTAGAGAGGGATGCCACACCCCGGGGGATGGTAGGACGGATGTGACGACAGCTCCAGGAATGCAGGGCCCACGCAGGTGCGTTGGCACCCGTGAGCTTCCTCCTTAGAGCCGAAGATAAAGCAATCCCGATAACAGTAATAGCAGCCACCCAGCCGTCATTCACACTGAGTTGGGGCCACACGGTTCTCTCAAGGTGTGTCCCTGCTCAGGGCAGAGGCAGAAGAAAGCCGAGATTGGAGGTCCGCAAAGGTGGCCACAGACCCACTGGCACCTGGAAACCTGGATAGGGATTTCCCAAAGTCACATTGTTCTCATGATTCTAAGGCGTTACTTCTCACCTTCCTGGTCTCGGGAGCAAATGATGAAGTTTTCCAGAAGGGACATGACAAATGATGACATCATCTTTGACTGCTTGAAATGTTATAGTGTGTATTGTTTTAGAGCGGTTTCGCTTTTAATTCCAATACAATAAATACACATAGACACAAACTTTTAGGTTCCTTATAATGTTTAGCTAGTTAAAGGAGTCTTGAGACCCAAATAGCTGCAACTGTGGGGCTGACACAGGTAGCAGGATTCCAGGCCTGGGGCTGCCCCTCATAACCAGGTTTCTTATTTCCACCAGGGCTCCAATCACACAGGTTGGGAACGCAGCCTCGTGATTCAGCTTGGGATAGTCCCTCTCTGTCCAGTGCTTCCACCCCCAAATGGCCAGGGAAAGCCTAGAGTCACCTACCAACATCTGGTGAGCTGCTTCCTTCAAGTGCAAGGGCCTTCTCGTCTTTGAAGGATAGAGTGTAGTACCCCAAAGACATACCCGAGAGCACACGGGGAGAATGGCTCTGTGAGCATGTTTCAGTTGAGCAAAGCAGGGGTATCCCTGTCTTTGGAAGCTCTCGTTGTACGTAGAGGAAAATCACAACTCACACGCACAAGGAAGCTAGGAAGATTGGGCCCCATCACAGGGGACAAGGGAAGGCTCTGCGGTAAGAGGGAGAGAGGGAGAGTGTGGACGGAAGTGAAGCCCTCTGGTGAACTTTTCAACCCGTCCTGGGATACAGAGGGTCTCTTCACCCTTACTTTTCTCCCAGCCTCAGCAGGGCCAGCAGGTAAACAAAACAAGAAAGAGGCGGGAGCCCCAGTGTGAGGCGCTCTGAGAGTAGGATTTGGTGTTGTGTTACCACGGGACACAGCTCGGTCACTGAGGGAAAAGAACACAGCCCAGAGGCTGCCCTTGGTACACACAGCAAAGGGCCAAGGAGGTTCCATGGAGAGAATGTCAGCCCCAGAGAGGCGGATGCTGAGGCTGGCCTGCAGGGATCATCGCAGCCTCAGCTCCCAGTCCTCTGGCGGTGCTGCGGGCACCCTGGGGAAGGAAGGCTCTGCATCAGTGGTTCTCAGTCTCCCTAAGGCTGCAGCCCTTTGACGCAGTCCCTCATGGGGTGGCGGTGACCCCAACATTACTTCGCTGCCACTTCATGGCCGCGGTTTTGCTACCCTGACGAACCGTAAATATCTGCTTCCTGATGGTACCCTGGGAGGGGGTCGCGCCCCGCAGGTTGAGAGCCGCCGATCTGCAGGAAGGTCAACGCCTTCTCGGACGGCGCCGGCCCCGAGTGACCGCGCAGAGGCGGGAAAACTTGAATCTTGCGGCCAAGCCTTGCAGTGGGTGCCTAAAGGGCGCTGCAGGGCGGCTGAGGCCCGAGAGGGACGCAGGAGCG